TTGTAACAATTCATACTCCAGCTGTGGTAAGCAAAGTGCAATGTGTTGTAACAGGTAAGAATCCATGAGCATGTCTTGTAACAATTCATACTCCAGCTGTGGTAAGCAAAGTGCAATGTGTTGTAACAGGTAAGAATCCATGAGCATGGAAAATCGGTAGCAAACGTCCCAGGCAATAGTATGCAACGTAATGAAGAAGGGTCTCGATCAGGAAACAAGGCCAATAGGGTAGGGGTTGACTAAGATAACGATTCCTATCATACTTCCCATTCAACATGTGCATACTTGAACAAACAGCTGGAGGATGAAACAAAGATATTCATGCTATTCCATATGAAGACATATAAGTCAAATTGCCAGATATAGTGCTTATGAACGTTTGTGTGATTGGACTATTGAAATGGTCACTTGGAAACCATCATTTTTGTACAATAAATGTATTATGGAAACAAACAGGGAAGAGTGGTATGCTTTGCAATGAAAACTGTACTGCAGGGCTATTGTCAAGATACAATGTCCACAGAAAGAGTGGACAGGGAATGATATGGTGAGGCTTCAAAATTGTCTTAATTTAATGTAATCAACACTCTGTGGAGACATGGTAGTCAAAAGTAATAGCATTATTTGTAAGAGAGGGAAAGAAATAATAATAAAAGATCATATTAAATTGGAACATAAACGTAAAACAAACACAAAATGACCTGGATTCGAATGGAATTAATTATTTTTGTTGGAACACAAGAACAACATATTAAGAAAGAATGAAGTGTTAATTTAAGCAAAGCAGGAACTTACTACGAGTAAGTAGCTAAAGTTGTTAGTCTTTAATTTGTTATGCAAGAATTTATGCTTAATTTCATGAAAGTGATATAAATATCCTTCTCATGAAAAAAAACTGTTCTTCTAACGAGCGAGTACAATCATTGACAATCTGAAAACCAAATTTTTATCGTCTTTCATGTTCCATAATTTACTGTAAATTAAAAGTTTAAGATTCTACGGGGTTATGATTAATCTCTTGCTGTCATTAACAGTGTGTTTTGGTCATTGTATCTTGAGGGTGCAAAAGCTAAAAACACAGAACTTTAAATAATGATATTTAAAGCCCAATTCTAACTTACTATAGCCATCTCATGCAAACAAAACCCATATATATGCTATTCAATACACTTCACAACTGAAAGTTTTATAAATAAAAAAATAGTCTGAAAGTTTTCCTTTTTTTTTTCCTGTTTGGCATTTGATTGTTTCTTTACATCTTGTCCTCAGTTAAAATACTCTTCATAATGTTGTGCGACACAATAACGATCTAAAAAGGATGGAGAGCTAGTGGTACTTTGGAAGGCCTTAAAACTGATCAAATGTTTAACCACTTTAAAATCTATAGTAATGTTTTAAGGATTAGTGAGTTGAATAATAGTTAAGTAAGGTTAACTAGAAATAACATTTTGAAACACTTGTGACTTTACAAAGACACACACTCGTGTGTGTCAAAATGTCATTCTGGATCTTAACTCACCAAGTCAGAATCTCCATTAAAATTAACGATGTGCAAGACTCAACCTAATGTTTAATTATCCTGTTTTATTAGCTTCAAAACATAGATTAATGAACTCCAAATAAAGGATTTTACTTGATTGTTACAATTGCTTCAGCATAATGAATGCTTGAAGATGCCGAAGAGTGTCTAGCAGACCAAATATTTTCACGTCACTGATCAGTTGTACATCCCAACTCCTGTTCACAAAATGAAAATGAACAACTTCTGAAAAAACATTGTTTTGTTAGATGAAAATTACACGAAACACGTAATCCCCAAAGTAAATTTATATGATTTTTTTCCCAAAAGAGCTACTAGCAATATATTTGCTTTTTTTTTTAATGTTGAAATAATCTGAACACAATTTTTCCCCCCTGTTATTATGCATTTACTTTGCTTCACCATAGAATGTTATCTCTTATAAACTTACCTCATGCATACTTTACTGTCATAAATCCTAACCAAATAATGAGAACATTTTGAGGTTTGGAATGTAAAAAGACATTGTAAATAATTAGTTGTGATAAAAATCACATTAAACTGCAGATATTTTTTTTTTCACATTCATCTCAAACCTAAAATTACCACTGTGATCCACATGGACCCAACTGGCTTCTTAAACATATTTTTTCTAAACTAGAGTCAGACCACACTTCATGTGGGTCCATGAATTTGTTGGCGATAGGATTTTTGTAACAATTTGCAGCAAAAAAAATGTAATACTGCCAACATTCCACTAACTACTAATGGGATTTTCTAGATATCTTACATAGAAAATGAATGATTTCACGCAATATTTGTGGTCATTTCTTTACACAGTATTTTCATAGGATAAATAACAAATAGTAATCAATATGATGGACAAAATTTGTAACATGAAGGTTTCTACAAAAAAAGTAAGAGGAATGTCAGAAAAAAGTATCTGCAGTATAACATGAATATTATTACAAATATTAAGCCCACTGTTTTAAGTTGTTGTTTTTTGTTTTTTTTTCAAAAAGGTATGTTAAAAATTATCTTATAAGCACATTGTTATGGATTGAATTTGAGAATACAGATATTAAATCAACAAATGGTGGTTTAACAACTAAAATTGTACAGTGAATCTTTCCCTTTCTTAAATCTTTATTTTCAATGTTTGAAAAAAAATTGATGCACAAAATATACAAAACCTTCTATTATTACATGAAATCCGGAACAACATTTTTGAATGTTCGAGTTACTTTGTTGGAGGGGGGAGGGGAGAAGAGAAGAGTGATCCTGAGAAGAAACTGCAGATAGGGAGAAATGATGAATTTCACTCTTTAACCAAATTATCTAAGTTGTGTAAAAGTGTGTTGAGTAGTTCACGCCTAAAATAAATCTACATATCTTCTATAGAATAACAGTGCTAGCTGATAAGTAGTTTAAAAAGAAAAGAACTTTAAGAATCACTTCACTAAAACAGTAAGTATGAGAATCTGTACGTGACACGATGACTTTGATAAAGTACAAGATGTTTTACCAGAACACTGCTACAACTTAACAAGTATCACATATCCTCTTTATGGTCAGGAGAACTGTTGACGAAGGACTTAATCATAACATTCACATCAGCATCTGATGGATCCTGTGAAAAGGACAGCAAATGTAGTGACGGGGTATATATATATATATATATATATAAAAGCAAGTCAATGAGTCAAAAACTGAACAATATATATGACAAAATGGATCTTAATGTCAAACTAACTGCATTAGTAACTTAGATCTGAGTTTAGTATTAAATTTTGTTTTAGCATGCTACTGTTCAACTCTTTTTAGTGTGAACATGTACACTGTAAAAGTAGAATGAAACGTACGTAACTCTGACGAATATTAGATAAGTTTTTTTCAGAGTGAGGTTGATAACAATTATTAAATACATACATATAGTTTTGGTTTCACCTTAATAATGCTTTCAGTTTCACTATACATATAAAACAAATAGAATGCTTATACAGGGACTGACGTCAACGCTTGTCCGGGATAAGTAAAATGTGCAGTCGGACAAGCGAATGAAAATGTCGGAGAATATCTGTGTTCATCAGTTTGTCATCTCTATTCCATTATTTGTCTCATCGTGAACCCTGCAACTTAGTGTCCTTGAGCCCGCTTCATACTGATGATGTAACTCTGTTTCTAAGGCAGTGACACAAACAATAGTCTGCCCTAGGTTGAGTGCGGTAGTTGGGGAAATGTTCAGTGAGCCAAAGTCTTGTTCCTAGATGTGTAATTAAGCTCTGAAGATAACTAGAATTGACTAGTGAGCTGGCCAGCTAGCACTGACAGCTCCATTAGAATGTATATACAAAACAGCTAGCTAGCTATCGTTAGATCAGGACTGACGAGAATGTTAAGCCAAGTAGTGCCTCTCCTTTCCACATACAGTTTCTGTCATCCCCTTAGCTTGTTCTGTTGTCGACAACCTACTGTATGACGAAATGCAGTCTCAAACACTGACAGAGAATGTCGCACATGTCAACTAAAGCTTGAACTCAATATGGATAGTTAGAATATTAACTGCTAGCTAGTAGTTCATTTTATCTACTGATGCTTAATATTTGAGTGAATGCTCTAGCAATTAAACACATATAAGCAAACATGCATGAATTCATGGTTTATCAAGAGTTACACAGACTACTGTATGGCCATAATCTATGACCAAAACAAAATAGCTTTTTTTTTAAAACACAGGAATGACTGTAGCTAGCTGGACGTAGTCTCTCTTTCTAAATACCCAGCTGAAGAAAGTGTTTCCTAACAAGATTTCACCGATCTTTTACCTGCCCATGTCATGAGGGTTTTAGTCAGTTACATTCAAAAGTTAATTCAACTACTTGTTGTTTAAGTTACACCAATAAGTATAGAATAAAATCGTAGCTACTAAGCCATATTTTAATAATATATAATATTTTTTGGTTACAGACCCATCAAGAAGAAAATCAGACCCCTCCTGCTATGCCCACCAGTCACATCTTCTCTTTCAGGATTTGTCAGTAGTTCTCTCTCTCTCTCTTACGTTTACGACTATATTGGTTATAACCAATATGAAGTCAAGGTTTTCATCTATCAAATAACGTATGATATTACATTGTTTTCTGTACATAGATTTGCAAATTGCTTGCTGAAAAATGTTTGTTCCTCACAGGAACGATATTGAGCAGATTTGATGAAGTTCTAACAGTTCTTGTTACAGAGATAGAAAGCCAGAAAAATTGTGATAGTTACGAGACATTGTCTGCTTTTTGCATGTCACTATTCTATGTTCTTTGTTGCATTACTTTATTAAATAAAAACTATTTAGTGCACTACTACCATGAGTATAAGAAAGTATGGTTAAGTTTCATCGACAGTCGATAGCAAAAAAACAGAAGACTCATGTAAGTGCTTATTTCTTGTTTTTTGGGGTATATTGTTTATTTATTATTATAAAAGTAATTAAACAAAACTTACAAATAGCCCACCCAAGCCCCCCCACTGCTCCACCAACCACAAGGATGCCTGGCACACCAACATTTCAAGAATTCCTGTGGTTGGCAGAACGAAGGCTGACTGACAGGTGGACCCCCATGAAACTAATGTGACGGCAATACTTGAAAAATATTGTCATACGAGTAACGGTCCAATTGACCTGAGGTAATATTTAGCCAGCTACCAGCACTTAATCTAACTAATTATTATTATTATACTATTTAACTGGTATGAACAACCCCTGTTTTGTTCTTCACCACCATTTAATTTAAAATAATTTTCCATTTTGTGAATCATGAAGTGTAATTTGTCGAGGTGAGCTAGCTGACTTATATCAAGCTAGCTAAGTTATCTAGCTTGTTAGCAGAAGACGTCGACAATCTCTTTTCTGGAGCCCCTAAAACCTGGGCAAATGGCCGGGGAAAAAACAAAACCCCAAACTTCAGCAAGTTCAGAGGCTTCAAAGCTGAGATATGAAGTAAGCCATAAAATAAAATTTGTCGGCAGTTGGAAAGAGGAGTTTCTTTCGGTCACTTGTGTCACACCCTGTTCAAAAACTTTGGACAAGTAAGAAATGCTATTCACTTGTCTGAAGGACAAATACTCCAGTAAGCTTAATGTCAATGTTTAATTAGTGAAATATACAAATTATTTTTTTTCTGTAGGTATGTATAAAATACTCATTTTTAATTTATATTTTATATTTGATTGGTATCCTAATATTATAATTACCGATGTTCCATTGCATACTTCTACATTTTTTTAAAAACTTTTTCATAAGAACAGTCTATGTAAAATAATGATATATTGTATTATTTATTATAATAAGAATTTGACTTCTGAACCATCAAAACTTACTTCTGAGATCTCAGGTTGGTCAGCAAGTTTTTTCAGTTCTGGTTCCTCATTAATCTCAGAATCCTCTGGCAATGGTCTTTTCTCTCCTCGTGAAGCTTTAAATTCAATAGTATCATCCTTAAGGTCCACAACTTCATTGTGAGTATGCAATCCTGGAGAAGGTAGATGGTTGATTCCATTTCTTGTGGTGTGAACAGAAGAAATATCAGTGGCCAACTTAATGCTTGTATCCAACGGGGTATCAGATGAGGTTACTTCACCAGTTTCTGATGCAATGGTAATTGTAATTAATTCTGGTACATTCCGGATATCTGAATGAGTTTCTTTTTCAGAGATGACATGAGATGATGTGGCATCACCGCTTTCTGGACCAACAGGTACTGTATTTAGTTCTGGTTCACTTTGGTTATTGAATAGAGCTATTTCTTCAACAGGTAGATTATCAGAGATGGCATCAACTTTCTCTATCTCTACAGCAGCTGTACTTAACTCTGGTACATTTTGGCTGTAAGAAACACCTTCCTCTCTAAGGGACACAGCACTTGATATGATAATACTAGTACTGTCTAAAGTTACAGCAACTGTATTTGATTCTGGTAAGTTTTGATTGGGTAAAGCAGTATCAGAAAAAAGAACATCACCATTTCGTGAAGTATCAGCAATTAACTGTGATTCATTTTGGCTGTTTGAACAAGTAACTCCTTGAAGAGTCACACAATTTTTTATTTCTTCAACAGTTTCTGGCTCTTCATCAGATTCATCTTCTAGTTCTTCATCAAGAACTTCTGGTTCTTCATCTAGTACCTCTGGTTCTTCATCCATTATTTCAGCATCTTCATCCAGTCCTTCTTCATCTTCATCTAACATCTCTGGCTCTTCATCTAACATCTCTGGTTCTTCATCCAACACTTCTGGATCATCACCTAAACCTTCTTCCTCATCTAGAACTTCCAAATCTTCATCCAATACTTCTGCCTCCTCATCAAATCCTTCAACTTCTTCATCCATCATATCTGCCTCTTCACCTAAGTCTTCGGGTTCTTCATCTAATACTTCCGGTTCTTCATCTTCAATAGCAACACTTTTCTCACCAGAACACAAATTATGGTCAGGAGGGAACTTCTTGTAAAGTTCAAGATTTACAGTAGTGTTGTGGGTATAAGTATTAGCACCTGTTTCAAATTCAACCTCTTTATTTTCTTTATCAATTTCATGCACATCAACCTTATCTGGACCAACATTTACTTCTACATTTTCAGAATGTTCCATGCGCTGAGACACCATTGTTACAGCACTAGATACATTCTGAGAAGGTGATGAAGAAACTGCAGATATAACAGGCTTCACTAAATCTCTAGCATTTTGACTCATCCCATTTTGTACAGTGTTCTGGGGTAAAAGAGTTTGTGTCCTTAGATTCACAGGGACTTGGTTAAACACATGCTTGTTCATTTTGGATGTTTGCTGATTCTCCCAATGCACAGTAGAGAGTTGATGTGCTTCAACTGATACAGGTTCATGAAGACTGGATTTAGCTGGTGTGGATTCATGAAGATTCTCTTTAACTGGCACATGCTCATGAAACCTAGCATTTCTGCCATCCTCATGCGTTAAGCCTAGTCTCTCTTCTCCACTCTTAGCATTAACATGAAACATGTGGCTACTTATGGGTGTCCTCATCCACTGGGAATTCCCAACATTTCCTTCTTGTTCAGATACAAAATGCACGTGAGCTTCACTTGAAATAGAAAGATTAGATACAGGGGTGACCTCTTGTCTTTCAACAATTCTGGTCACATTGCTGTTATAGCTTTCTTTTTGGTCCCTGGAATGAGGTGGTGGGAAGATGCAGCTTCTAGCAATAGTAGTGACAGGGTCACCGTTCATAGCTGGAATGTTTCTGTGTGGAACCAAGGAAGGAACTGTATGGCCAACTACGGTACCAGAATTTGCAGCAGAGATACTAGATGGACGTATGATTGCAACTCGAGGATGTAGGATGGTGACACATGTTGCTAGGGCAGCCATACAGAATTCACTCACCTGAAAAAATTAATAGCATGATATTTTCATAATGTAGTAAAAATTCATCATCTGCACTAGTTTAAAAATATGCAAGACAAACCACAACAAGTTAATTATTCATTTATTACTTATTACTGAAAAAAAAACAATTATCTATAGAATACCTGAATGTTTATTGTTACATACCTTTATTTTATTAATTTTAAATATTTTTTACTTGATATTAAAATGGTTTTAAATATAATATTTTGTCTATACTACCAAGTAAAATATCAATACCAGCAGGTACTAAATCATCATCAGCTAGTGTCAGAAAAGTCTTAGAACCTCTGGAATTATTTTAATATGTGAAAAACATTTTATATTATTGTATGGAGTAATTTCGAAACTCGCTAGTTTTCGAACTTTTCTTGCCCACTGCACAGTTATAATGCAGCATTTTAACTAACTTCCTAACAAAAAATTGACTCTTTTGGAAACAGCAAACACTTAAGATAAAAGAAAAGTTTATAATATCAATCAAAGTACTGAAAGACATAAAACATTAACATGGTTTAGAACTCCTATATGGATGAAAATAGATAAGACTAGAAAAATCTTGAGGATAACAGCAAACCCAGCCGAGTCAACGATCGGCATTAGACTGAAGGGAGGGGTGAAGGAAGGTTGAAAATGGGTAACTTTTAAAGGAAACGTGGTGCATTTTAACTTAATATTTATGCAGGATTAATATTAATATTACTGCTTCTGTGTTGTGTCATCTCCTATATTTATACATTAATAACAATAGAAAAAACACCAACTTTCCACAAACTGGACATTTAATTTTTATTAAGGATATTAATCTTTCAGTATGATGTTTTTCCATATAAGGACTACTAATCTAATAAATATAATCCTTTAATAATTCCATGTATGAATTACCAAGTAACATAATTAATGGTTTGAAAGATAAAATGGAATTAAGGGATA